AGATGGATTGACACAGTGGCTGCAACAATGGGCTCAAGCATAGTAACAATTGCGAGGATGGCACAGAACTAGGCAGTATTTCATTCTGTTATACATAGGGTCGCTATGAGTTGGAACCAACTTGACGGCACCTAACAACAGCAACAACATACACAGAGCAGGTGTGTGAACAGGCATTATAAACTGTAGAGCCCAATTCAATGTGCACCATGTTGCGTATCACCACAGTCAATTACATTGAGGACCAGCAGTTTTGATTTGCACTCAAATTATATGGTCACTATGAGTTGGAATCTGGTAGACTGCAATGGGTTTTTTTTTTTTTAAATCAGACAATAGCGATGAGCATCTTCCAAGTTGCAGCTGACGTCTCTGAGTTTTCGAAAGTGTCATTTGTTCATTAAACACTTATTGAGCTACATTCTGCACCTGTAGGGTTTTGGGCAGAGGAATGTCATGAGCTGACTCACAGTTTAAAAGGAGCTCTGTGGCTGCTTGGGAGGGATGACAGATAGTAAGGGGCAAGTGTGGAAGAAGGAGACCAGTCAAGTGTTATGGTAATCCAGGCAAGGAATGATGTTTTTTTTTTTTTTTTTGAAAAATTGTTTTTATTTTATTAAAAAAACAAAAGCAAAAAAACCCACTAGTCTAGGTTCACTCAGTTGGTTTCACGACCTGCTAAGGGGACATAACCTACAGTTAGAAAAACTGATGACAGGCTAGGTGGGGAAGTGGGAGACCACCATGCACCTAGGGAGGAGAGGACTCTGGGGAGAAGGGCTGATACTGGCACCTGTACTGCAGGCGGAACTGAAAAGTGCTGCTGGATCTGGGATTGGAGATAGGAAGGAGGCAGTCCCATTACTACCAAGGCCAGAACCTTGACAGTACATTAGGACAATATTAGGATCTGGATTGGTGAAGAGCTCAGCTGCTAACCAAAAAGTGGCAGTTTGAATCCACCAGCTGCTCCTTGGAAACACTATGGGGCAGTTCTACTCTGTCTTACAGGGTCACTATGTGTCGGAATCAATTCTATGGCAACGGGTTTGGTTTTTTTTCTTTTTGCAGCCAGACTGCCCTGGGTGAGTCCTGACTTGGCTCTCCTTGGCTGGGTGGCTGTGACTCCGGCCCACCGGTGACTTTATACCTTCGGGCAATAACTTCCCATCCCATCCTGGGCTGGGGATCTGACAGCCACAGCAAGAAGAAACTACTGAAGTCACATCCTTGGACCACCAGAGAAACTTGGAAGCCAGGTGTTTGTGAATCAAGGCCCTGACTACAAGATAACCAAAACCCACACATCCTAGGCTCTGGCCACCCAGTGAGAGAGAATATTATATTTAGGGGCTGAAAAAACGTGTCCTTTCTGAGCTATCAGGTGATTCATTGTAAACTGGGTAGGGCTGCTTCTAATTAACCTCTTGGTGCCTGCTTTGTGCCAGCTGCTCCACAGGAGAAAGAGGTGACAATTTGCTCCCTTAAAGATTACAGCCTTGGAAACCCTATAGGACAGTTCTACCCTGTCCTGTAAGGTCGCTATGAGTCGGAATCGACTGGACAGCAATGGGCCTGCTTTATCAGCGTAGCCTAGTATTCTGGAGCCTGCGTCCAGACTGTTTCTGTCCTAATAATCCCACCCCACCCAGGCCAGGCACAATTTAAGGCCCTAATAGTGTTCCTGAAGGAGACCTGGTAGCACAGTGGTTAAGCACTTGGCTGCTAACCAAAAGGTCAACAGTTCGAACCCATCAGCCGCTCCTCAGTAAAAAGATGTGGCAGTCTGCTTCCGTAAAGATTTACCACCTTGGAAACCCTATATAGGGTTGCTATGAGTCAAAATCGACTCGATGGCAATGATTGGGTTAATATTGTTCCTAAGACACATCCTTCATCACTTATTGCACCCCCTCTGAGGCCCTGTTGTTAAGTGGGGAGGCCAGAGTGACTCAATATATGTTGATTTGATGTACCGAGTAATTCTTCCTCTTAAGAACCCCACAACCCATGACATCAATCACTCCTTTAGTCATTCAAGAATTCATTAAAAAAAAATTATGTCCGTATTTCCTAAACAAAACATCCATCCCTCCCCATGACTTAGTCTGCTGAGTTGTTATTCTTCCCCCAACACAAAGCCTTGACCCAGGTGAAACCCAAGAGGCCTTCTAGGAAATGAGACTAAAGGGGAATGTTTCAGAATGGCAATGGAAGAGGCAGGACTGTTGCCTTCCTTCCAATCATGTTACACGGGACGTGTGAGTTGAGGCCCAATTGGCCCACAGGAGAGCAAGGCCTTAGGGCCCAGATGCTCTTAGAATCACTGACCATTCTTGCATAGAGTTTTACAAATGGAAGAAATGTATGCTGTTTAGTAAAAATGTTTGGGATTTTTTGGGTTGAAAGTAACAGAAATTCAACTTGAACTAACTTCTAAAAAACTGGTTGCCACAGATTCAATTCCCACTCATATCGACCCTATAGGACAGAGTAGAACTGCCCCAACAGGGTTTCCAAAGTAGTAAATCTTTAAAATAAGCAGACTGCCACATCTTTCACTCGTGGAGCAGCTGGTGGGGTCGAATAGTCAACCTTTCAGTTAGCAGCTGAGCGCTTAACCACTGTACCACCACGGCTCCTTAGCTTTAAAACAAAAAACAAAAACCCATTGCTGTTGAGTGGATTCCAGCTCATAGCAACTCTATAGGACAGAGTAGAACTGACCCACAGAGTTTCCCATGATGTAATCTTTACAGAAGCAGACTGCTACTGCCATATCTTTCTCTCGTGGAGCAGCTGGTAGGTTCGAACCACAAACCTTTCGATTAGCAGCCAAGTGCTTAACCACTGCGCCACCAAGGCTCCTTAAACTCAGAACAATACCTTCTAGATTATATTGCTGTGAAATAAAGTGTTACTCCCTAGTTCATTTATTGTGTACCATATGTCTTACTTAGAAGCCAAGAGACATATACTTAAGACGTGCCATCCATCTCCCCAGTAGATAAGTTTTCTAAGCACTGGGTTAGTGGGATTGCTCTTAGTCTTTGAGAGCCCCTTTTACTTTGGCTTCATAAAAATATGTTTCTACACATAGACATCTTTTGTGTTTATGAGAACAATTGCATAACTTGTACTCTGTTTATACTGATGGTATTAATTCTAAATATGTTCAAGTTGCATTATACTAAGTAAAGTCATAAATTAAGATGCAAGAAAACAATGAGAATTTTTATGAGCTCCAGGCGGATTTATGCTAGAATTGATGTATCTGAAAGTGGCGGTACTTCAGAAAATAAATTAGGAAAATTTTAAATTGAGAAATAAAGATCATGAAAACATGAAATATGTGAATACATTTTTTCACTCCGAAAATTTTTGTTTACTTTTGCACATTAAAAATTGACATTACTCTTCTGGAGTCTTAAAAGCCTGTGAGCGGCCATCTAAGATACTCCACTGTTCTCAGCCCTTCGGGAGCAAGGGAGAATGAAGAGAACAGGATACAAGGTAAAGATTAGTCCGAAGGACTAATTGTCCACAGATACCAAGGCCTCCACCGGACTGAGCCCAGTACAGCTAGATGGTGCCCGGCTACCACCACTGACTGCTCTGACCAGGATCACAACAGAGGGTTC